AGATCCAAGTACAAAGAAGCCAAAGAATCCTTCCAGCGTTTCCTGGAGAACCACGAGAAGATGACATCCACCACCAGATACAAGTAAGGGGTGCTGGGGCAGGAGAAAAGTCCTGCTGGGCTGAGAGGGTGGGCAGTGACATCAGCTTTCATTTTAAGTTCTTCCCTTCCTTTCTAAAAGATAAAAAAAGGTGTCACAGAAAATAAAATCCCAAGGGGGAAAATCAGGGAGACAACCTATGGAAGTGTTCCTGCTCCTGACAGAGTTCACTGGTGGTGTGGGATGGTGGGGTGGTTTAATAATAATGTTAATAATAATAATAATAATGTTAATTAATTCCTGGGGTGCTTTGTCTCGTCCCAGGAAAGCTGAGCAGATGTTTGGGGAGATGGAGGTGTGGAATGCCATATCCGAGCGGGATCGCCTGGAGATCTATGAGGATGTCTTGTTTTTCCTGTCCAAGAAGGAGAAGGTAACTTCCCTCCTCGTTTATCTTGTTACCCTGAATTAATTTCAACCTCTGGTGGAGCAGATGAACCTCTGGTTTGAGGGTTATGGCAGATAAAGAGCAGTTTTTTGAAAGGTCTTTGTTTTTATGCACATCAATTCCTGCTGAATTTACCACAGGTTTGATTTTTAGGATGATTTGAATAAATTAAAAGATTATTTTTATTTCTAAGCTGCTCTGAATCACTGAAACAATAATAATATGCAAAAACTGTGTAGGTCCAAGTTGTGGTGTGTCCAAGGCCAGCTGGGATGAGGCTAGTGGGAAGGGATGGGGCTGGATGGGATTTAAGGTCCTTTCCAACCCCAACCAGTCTGGGATTCTCTGTAAATGAAAGGCTAATTTTGAGTTTTCTTGGAGCAAAGTTGATGTTATGTCTTTCTGCCCCCACAGCCTCAGATTTCCAACCCAAATCCGTGTGTTTTCTCCTCAGGAACAAGCCAAGCAGTTACGGAAGAGGAACTGGGAAGCCCTGAAGAACATCCTGGATAACATGGCCAACGTCACCTATTGCACCACGTGGTCGGAGGCCCAGCAGTACCTGATGGACAACCCCACCTTTGCAGAGGATGAGGAGCTCCAGAGTGAGTCCACAGGATCCTTGGGATCCCTCTGGGAGAGGGAATGGGAAGAAATAA